AAATGCCTTAAAATGCAAGATTATATGTTAAATTCCTATTTTCGCGTTATCATCAGATGGTGAAAAACTTTTGGAATTTTGGATTTTTTTTCAAAATTATAACTTTTCTGCACGTTTCTCATCAAATAAGATCATTTTGAAAAATCTTCTAGACATTTTTATTTTTTTTAGAATGTTTCAGTAAAACCCTCATTTTGCGTATCATGTTGTTAGATGGTAAAAAAATGTGATGAAAATTTTTGGATTTTTTTTTCAAAATTACAACTTTTCTGTACATTTCTCATCAAATAAGAGCATTTTGAAAAAAAAGTTTTTAGAAAATAGTCTGTATGCAAAATCTGTTTGGTGGCAGTAAAGTATTTCTTTTTTTTTTCTTTTTCATGTTTTGGTCACTGATGGCCATTGAATCCACAAGAGTTGTTGGTTTTACAGAGACCTATTATTTCATGTTGAATGTAGAAGAATTAAGAATGAATGTGTGCTTTTCAGGTTTAGGTTATGTCTTGGGTAGTATAGAGTTTTGGTTGGTTTTGTGGGGATAAAAGGTGAAATATATGCATGTAACTTGGTAAAAACAGCTTTAAATGATAGTGGCTGTCCCTCATTATCCCACTCAAACCTACTACTTGTACATCCTGCAGATTTAATGTGGCCAAGAGAAGCATCTCCCCTGCTCCAGAAAATTCTCTGGACCTGGACCTGCCCCTGGCCCCAGTCCAATGCAGGCCCACATAAGATGAACATTCAGAAGGTGTAATATCTGTCATGTTTGCCAAATGCAGACAAAGAGGCAGCATCTGTATGTACATTCAAAACTTTAATATGGAATACAGTGTAGAAAGCATCTTCCCAGTCAAAGCAAATGGCCTGCACAATATTTATTACACAATGGAAAATAAGAAACCTATATACTGTATAACCCACAGAGAGTGAGACCAAAGGAAAACAAAATAAAATTAGATCAAATTATTGACAGAAAGAAAATCCTGCTTTCTCGTCTACTCTACTGCCCTCTGGTGGGCTTCTGAAAAACAACTCTTCCTCCTCTTCACAAAACGGAGTAAATGATTGGATGGAGACGAGACTAGAACATGAGACGACTGTGTGAAAGAGGAGTCGGGAGATTTTCTGACCACATCTCACTTCTACTGCTCAGCAAGTGCAGCTGTTGTGCTGTAAATGTGAGGATTGGGAGAAAAAGAGAAAGAGAGAGAGAGAGAGAGAGAGAGAGAGAGAAAGAGAGAGCGAGAGGCATGGTCAGAGGAAGAAGGGGGGGAGGGGATGCTGGGAGTTGTGAGAATCCATTACAGATATATTAATATAAAAACACAGGCTGTCTGACTGCCTGCCTGAATGACCATCCATCCATCCACCTGGAACTGTAAGTCATTTCCTCTCAACCTCGCTCTCCTTCATCCTGCTCTCAGCATTTGATCCGTCAGAGAAAGTAAAAAAAACAAAAACGTCTCGAACACTAGAGGAAAACCTATTTCTCAACTTCCTGATGTCTGGCATTTTCTTCCATAAGCATGAAACCAATAATCTAAGCATTTAAAAATAAAATGAAAGTCTACTGAGCATCAGAGACAGCTTCCCTCCACTTCTGTGTCTTACAGAAGACACTGATACAACGTCAATGTATAAGTCCTCAGTAGAAAAAACTGTGCTGTTGATGAGACATTTGTGCTGATGATTTAGCACCAAATCAAGGATTTTCAGAATCTGTTTAAAAGAGAATGCCGCTGCTGTAAGCATGGCGCTTTTTGTATTTTAGACTTTTTGTTCTTTTCAACTGACCGATACTGTGGTGTCGCGAATCAGCTCGTGTCTCCTGTGCCTTTTCACTGATGCAATATGTGTAATATGTAAAAAAAAAAAAAAAAAAAGAAAAAAGAAAAACTAAAATCAAATAAATGAATGACACACAGATGTCATTTAAATGAATATTTTACATGATATCAAAGCCTGTCTGTCTAGATTCATTCTTTTATATATATATATATTTATATTCATTATTGTTTAAAGTCACATAATCACGAGAAGATACTAAATGTACAATCTTGCTAGAATGACAATCTACACATGAGAAAAGATCAAGAGAAACAGAGAGAACAGTGTTTGTTTTTGTTTTTTTTTTGGTTTTCTTGTAGCATCCTCTCGTCATTGTTGCCTTCATGCACTACAGAGAAACAGCTAAGACTTGAGCATTACTTCAGTAACATGACACGCAAGTATTTAAAAAAATGACTTTACATTGGCAGATTTTTCTAACTTTTTTCTTCTTTTTTTTTTTTAGCTTTTTTGGAAAAACAGAAGCTGTAAACGAGAGGAGAACAAAAAAGACAACAACTCAATGACTTCCGAAGACGGTAACCTCGCTATTTAGTTTCCTAAAATTTCTCTTTGCCTAAATTCTGACCTTGTCCTCTTCTGTCAGCTGCCATCTCCAGCAGCCAATTTTTACCACTTCTGGTCTTAAACAGCCTGATACGTTAATATAAGTGTGATCAGGATTTCAAACTCCAGTGTCGACAGATTAGAGCGAGTGCAATCAATGTTGTTGTACAGCGAGAGGGGAAACTTCTGAGCTTCATTTACAACAGCTCACACACCTGCACTTGACTTGTCTGGTAAACCCTTAATGAACAACCACAGCTCATTTACGTCCATAGTAAAGTAAAGGTCAGAGGTCAATAGAATACAGGAACTGACTGCTGTTAAAAATGAGGCTCAAACTGTAAATCATTGATTAGACAGTAGAAGACCAAAAGTAAAGCCAGTCATATTGGTGCTTTGAAAACCACACACTTTCCCCCCCTTCTTATGATTCAGCTCAATTCTATGCTCAGAGAGGAGCATCGTTTTTCCACACATCAGCAGGCCCAAACGGAGCAAAGCCCTCGCTCCAATAAAGTGAACAAACGCGGTGGAAACGATTTCCGCCCGAGCAGTAAGGAGGAAAAAAAAAGAAAAAAGAAAAAGCACAGAATACCGAAAACAAAGGAGGAAAAAATGAAACCCTGGCTACAGATACAGTTAACTGACTAGTTCAGTCACTTGATCAAATCCACTATGAGGAGTAAGACAGGAAGGGGGAGGAGGAGGAGTGGGGAGGTTGATGTATGAACATGTGAATGTGTGTGAAGGTGGGACTCTCTTCAGTTCTGCATCTGCTCAAAGAACTTGTAGGTTGGGTTCTCATAACCATTCTGCTGCATCTTAGACAGGTGGCGCTCCTCAGGGGTGACGGCAGCGTCCACCTGCAGGTGGGTTAGTGGAGAGCGGAGAGTGAATTTGTGTTTGCCAAAAAACGAAAAAGCTGAGGGAATCGGGACTGGACCCATTACAGTGTTTTAAACCAAAGTATAAACTATACTCTACTAGTTTATACCCTTCTAGTTTAGACATAGTTTATACCACTTTATACTATATATTTACACTGACAACAGACAGATGTGACTCAGTGGAACTCAGTCAGCTCATTCTCACCTCAATGACTCCGTGGTGGATGGAGGTGTACTGCTTCTTCCTTAGCATTACCAAGGTGATAACGATCACGGTCGCTATGACGACCCCTCCGACCATCAGACCAATGATGGCGCCCTTGTTAGAGCCCACATCCTCTGCAAAGAAGACCTGTGGGGGGTGGAGGTGAAGCAGTGTTCAGGTGCTTTTATTTTTTTTTTGTGTGTGAACATGAAGGTTTAAATGTATACTGTAATGATGTCACCTCCCCTGATAATGACCTAACTGCTGCTCTAACAGGTCATGTTGCTCATGTGATCTATCCACTTCATCTGTCAAAACTATTGCCTATCTAAAGGTGCATTTTGTGATCTTTTGTGCCTTTGCTGGGTCAGGAAATCTGGGTGGTTGAACAATCTGCTAGAGCACACAACTTAGCTTGCAGCACAAGCTAAGTTGTGCCAGCACGCCACTCAAACAGCTAGATGATAGTGCCTCTAATCATGTGCAGATTTTATATTGATGATTCAATGACTAACCACCAAATGTTGTCCTAATTTCTTGTGAAATTATTTCACAGCGTTAGATTTATATAAATCATGGCACCAGTGTATGACAATCACATAATGGGGCTTACTAATGTGTGATTAACACCACCTACAGGCCAGGGCAGCACAGCTACTTGGTCAGGGAGTGCTTATGGATCTAGGTCAGAATATTAACAGTGATCGCTATCAACAACACGTTAAAAACTTGAACGTAATCAGAGAAGGCAAGCGAGCGTGACGCAGGCATTAGCACGGCTGTCTCCATGGACACCCGTCTCCATGGTAACAAAAACTTCCAAGGTTGTTACCATGGACACCCGTCTCCATGGTAACAACCTTGGAAGTTTACCAGGAGGACAAAGTGGGAAACCGTGGACCAGACTTTGTGTGTGTAGATTTTTGGAAGAGAAATCATTAGGACTCCCATCAAGTAAATATTATTCTATTATGACATTTGTTTTTTTCCATTTGCTTTCTTGCACAAAGCAAGAATGTTTTTGGACTGCTGAATGGCTAAGTTCTCCTTAAATATTATAATGTACTCTTGGTTCCAATTTTGTTTCTGTATGAAATAAAATACTGTAGAGAACTCATATAAAGAGAGTTAATTCAAAAATTCTGTTTCAAAAATCCTTTCCTGCACCAAACCACTACAAAAATACATTTTACTTCTGAGCAGTGCATATCACTCTATAAGAACACATAGAATTTTCAAAATAATTTTCAAAAAAATCATGGAACTGCACTTCTATACCCTTACCACTGGTCACCAATAAATCAGACAATATATATTCCAGGGTTATTCTGGAACATTTTAACAGTGCATCTAATAAAAACATTATAATTTCATGAGAAAATAGACCTTTAAAAGTCATTTATGGGTGTTGTTAGTCTCTAAGGTGTAGATGTGTGATAATTTTACCAGTTTCTGGTGGTGAACCTCGTACTCCGTGCTCTGTCTGTCACCAGACTCCATCCTCAGCTCAGGCACGGCTACCATCTGTATTCCAGTCACTGTCAGGAGAGATGGAAAAAGTGTGATCCACTAATGCTGCTGACACTTGATGTGCTTTCTCAGTCACACAGACAGACAAAAAAAAACCAATCTGAAATCAAGCCTGCTTGCTGAGGCGGGTCGGACAACAGATGAGAAGCAGCAGCAGCAGCAGCAGGTATGAAATGAGTAGAATAATTTGTGCAGGATGCACAGAAGCTGCTTTAACTGACACTGCAGCTGCTGCCTAATGGAGGTCAAGAAGAGTTGGATGTGAGCACAACGCAAGGATGAGAGAGTTGGTGAGGAGTCAAGTGTTATGATGGCTGTGACCTACCTAAAATAAAGGTTGGATTTTAGAGAAATGTATTTTTGTGGATTTTAGACACTCCATTAAATACTAATGCATATGCAGCATTTACTGCACTCAGCCACTTTATGGTAGAAGATTCTTTCATACTTTGACCTGTGAGCAGCCAACTGGCTAACTGAAGATCCTCCTACAATGTTGACTTTCAACTTGTTTGGAGTGTATAACCAAGATTGTTTTTACATTTTATTCTTTCTAAAACAAATCATTTTAACTGAAACTTAAATATATATATATATATATATATATATATATATATATATATATATATTCCCAGAAAATTTATGTTCAAATAAATGTGTATCTTTACAAACTATTATGGAACTATGTTTTATAAGCAACTTGTAACACTTGACTTGAACAACATATTCTACCAACACACCTCATGACATAATGTTATGCTCTACATTGCACAGCAGTTGTTGATCTACAACGCCTCCATCAGTATGAATATGTGTGTGATACGTGTTTAATTAATGTTCAAAATGATTTCATTTAAGAAGAACATCAACAACATGCACTGTTGTCAATGAGCAGCTGGGTCTGTTTCAATGTCAGTTAAAAACTGAAATCCCTGGTGTATGAGAACGAACAGTTTATCAGTTTTTTTTAATTTGCATTAGAACAGCAAGGCTAAGTGATCAAATAGATGTGCAGATTTTATTAGCCAGGCCTTCTGTTAAGTCTAGTAAATCTAGATTTACTCGTCTCACATCCATGTTATCAAAGACAATATGCTTTTAACAGTGTAACAAACCTGGCCTCTTGGGAATTCCTCTGTCAAGGTTAGGGCGAGAGTCCACTGCTTCAACTGACAAAAAGCAAGGGAGAGAAAGAGAAGAAACGTTTTAAATAGTTTTTGCAACAGAGCAGAAACCTCCAAATAAAGAATGCAGAGAGAATGTTAATCAGGCAGAATGTAGCTGATGCTGCAACGCTGTTTTAGTGAGCAATGTTATTTTTGTAACAGTCTCTCAATACCTTGGTTCTCAGTGTTGGGCTGGTTGAAGCTCTCAGGGTGGATGAAACCAACTCCTCCCAGGCCAAGAGTTTCCTCCTGAGGCAAAAACTCAGCCTGGCTGTCACCCAGCTCCTGGTCGGGCATCAGGGCGTCATTGCCGTAGCTCACCCTCACATCCGTCTGCAGGTTGGCCAGCTGCTGAGCCATCTCAGCCTGTTCCCTCTGCAGCAGCTCTGCATCGAGGGTGAAAAATTAAGCGGATATTGTTTTACTTTAAAATCAAAATCTTTAGAGAAAGAGTTTGTTTACATACACTCAATCCACAGCACACACACTAATTATCAGCCACAACACAATAAGTATGCTCCAAACCTTTATAAAGAGGTTTAGTTTTTTTTTTTTAATGAAAAAGATCAATTCTCTACAGTAAAGAAGACCTTAGCTAAAGATTTGTGTTGTCACTGTGAAAGTAACAAAGAAAAGAGACAGGTGCCAAGGAAAGTTCTAGTTAAAAGGTAAAGGAGAAAAATGTTCAGGAGAAGAAATATGCAGATTCACAAACTCTGGTTAAAAAAAGAGGTATTAATGGATAAGTCTTTGACTAGAAAAACTGCCAAGACAAGGTGAATGACCTGAAGTCAAATTTTACAAATTAGAAATGATGGTAATATAGTACTTTACATGCCACACCATCACCAAAATAAACGTCTCTTTCAAAAGAGGTATAGCGAAGCTGCAAGATTTAGGTTTTGACTTTAGTTCCAAGAAGTGACTAAAGGTTTCTCTTTCTCTTTTTCATTTCTGTGTAATTTTGGTGTTTGTGTTGTCAGACTGTAACAGCTGCCAGGACAGATACACAGATGGCTGTGTGACGCACAAAACTCCCAATGAATCCTGAAAAAAGTGCAGATACCATAGTGACGAAGGTGAACGTAGATTTATTCTTCTTCACAGCAAACAAAGTTTCAACAGAAAAGGATTTGGTGCTGACGCTCCTTGTCTATGTGAAACTTCCTGTCTAATACATGTTAATAAAGTTAGCTTCATTGTCTTCATTTATTTTCATTCTTTGTAGTGTTCAGCTGCCAAACTGATTAAACTTTAAATTTAATTTTCGCAAGCATGAGAAATTATTATTATTATACAATAAGTGTGATTTCAAATGCAGGAATTCAGCCTCTACAGTTCACAGTGTTATAATTTGGTAAGACTCACATATAGAAAGAATTAACCATTAAAAAGATTATGACCCAAAGCCTTCTCATATTCATATAAATACAGAATAAGACAAAATGATGTGCGACCAAAAACACCAGTTAGATAAGAATACATTAGAAAACAGTAAAACCAGAAATATTATTGGGAACCTTGCAATTTACAAAGAAAGTCAAAGGATTTTTTTATGAATTCCCTCAGGAGGTTCAAAGGGGTCACAGAAAGCATTTGGTTTTATGAACATTGAAAGCTTAAATTTTCTTGGTCTTTTTTGTGTTTTTTTTCCTGTTTAGAATGATAGTGTGAGCCTGAAGCTACATACTGACATGCAGCTAATAACATGGCTCCATTCTATGTGATTTAAATGATGGACATTTCATATATCCAGTGGCTAGTTAGTATTCGCCTTAATTTGGTGCAATTAATTAATTAATTTTTTACATAAAATTATGTGAATTGTAGGAGAGGGGTTTCAAATGTGTACTTTGCCCCACCAGGAAAGGGGGGCTACATGCTCAAAACTGACTAACACTAATTCAGGAGAGAATAGTGTAGAATTAAATAATCAGAATATGGGGAAATGTTATAAACCAGAAGTTACGATCAGTTAGATCAGGGGGGTTTAAACTTCTGGCTGGGCGGGGGTCACTTCCAGACTGCAAAACCCAACATTTGGCCTGTGACTAGATGTCAATAATAGTTACCTTTAGTTACATAAACTGCAAATTCAGTTGTTTGCACAGTGGTATTATATAGTATTTATACAATAACAAACTACTTTTTATATATATTTCATATAATATCTATTTTTTTTAACAATGAACTACAAAAATGACAGTGGATTTAGTGGCTCTCAGCTATTCTGAGGCTGAGTAGCCTTATTTGGATATATATTCTCCTCTGACATGATCAGACTGCATTTGTTGTTTTATTTCTTAATTACAGATGCTTTTTAATTAACATCAAATGGAATGGTGTTTAATACTTACACAGTATAAAAAACACAAAAATGTGGAAAACAAACTCACCAACTTGGTCCTGGATGTCGTCTGCCACACCTGGAACCTTGTAGAGAAGACCCAGAGACTGGTTCATGCGCTCCTCAATGACACGCAGGTGGGTGAGAACCTATTACAAATACAAACCAAAGTAACACTTTTAGTGTAAGCACAGTAAAACTGGGTTAAACTACTTTGAATAGGGGTTAAATTTTACCTGAGGTCTAATCTGGGCTGCCTTCTTGGGATCCACCATTCGCACATGTTCAAAGTGTTTGAGGGTGTGTTGTCTGTCCTTCTGCTCGGCCCGCACGTACTTTTTAAGCAGGCTGAATACATGACGAGGCTGCAAAAATGTAGGGAATAAATTTAAGACTTATTGTATGTTTGTTCATCCTATAAACTCAAGTTTGTTTCACCCTTTGACTATTCATTCCTTTAAAACAAAACTCACTGTAAAAGTCTTCATATATAAACCTGACAGAGGGTCTGAAATCAAACATCATCTCTTTGACTGACAGAGAAGGGGGCTCACCCTGGGCAAGTTCTGCTGCAGGGCAGTCAGGTAGCTCTCCAATGCCAGGCGGCGGCGGTCGTTGAGCAGAGCCTCCACCCTGGCCATGTGGGTCTCCACCAGCTGTTGACGCTCGCTGGCTGCCTCCTGCTCCAGGGCTTCCACCTTTTCCTGGAAACGCTGCACAAAAACACACCATGAGGAACAATGATAGGAAACCAAAACATCTGTTTGTTTCTCAAAATGTCAACACTGTCTGTGTCCTACCTGAATGACAGCCTTCTTATCTGCCCTTGGGAGATTCTTGGCCTCCCTCTCAGCCTCCTCCCACTCCCTCATCACCTGAACACAGTGACAGTGGGGAAAACAAACTCATTAGTCCTGTCAGTTTACTGTGCTTTCTTTTGGTCCGTCACTCTAAAAAGAAAAAAAGAAATATTTTGCACATCTGTTTCCAGAGACAGGCGCAAAGGTAGAAACAGAAAACAAACACTAAAAAGGAAATAGTATCACAAACAAGCTCATTCTGTAAGTCTGAGTCCAGTTTGTAAACAGCAGTAGATACAAAAAACATCAAATTTCTACTAAAACATCCAAATTTATTATTGATCAGTAACAAAAACTGAGAGATGCCCTTTTAATATCACCTGATGTAAAACACATGTGTAGACATTACAGTTCTTAACACAAGCACTGACAGATTAAAGATCACGGTACACGGTTGCTAAATATTACAGAGGTATTGCATAAACCCACTGCAGTATAAAATATTGAGTTTTTAAAGTATCTATTTTTAGGTTTTGAGAGACAAAGATGTTGAAGATTTCTGAGAAAGACCTGAGCACTTTACTTCTAATATATGCTTTCTATAATTGTATACTATAACAAACCTAAAAAAAAAAATCATATGTACCTAAAACCTGGTCCTATTTTACCTCAGCTGCCCTCTAGTGCTTTTATGTTTGCACAGCAGCTTGAATAATTAAAGCTTCCACAGAAAGCTTTTGGCTTTTTAGGGCTGAAGCTTATTTTTGGTACAAAAATAGAACGACATACCTTTAGTTTTTGGCAAACAACCTGGTATGCTCAGGAAAAATGAGGGATGAGTTTACGTATCAACTTACAGAATGTGTGTTAAATAAACACATACAGACTCCGTTTCTTCTTTTTATTTGTTAAGTTTTTCCTGGGTTCAGATTTACTGTAAATGGAAAATAAACAGTTTCTGTTCCTCTAAAAAACTATGGTAAGTTCCTCTCTCGGTACTCTACCCTCTTTGAATAACTTTGGTTTTGAAACTCTCCCTACTTCTCTGTTGATGAAAAATAAAATGAGCTCATCAGAGTAAAGCAAAATCTAGTGAAATAACAACTAGGCAATAATGTAAAGTCAGAGATTCTTTTCTATTGACTTTCTATGATAATGTCATAACCTGACTTGTGAATCTCTAAACGTTCCTATTAAAGTGAAATGAAAAATGAATATTTTGGTTTTTTGCACCAGTGACATCCTCTCTCGGTGCTTGGCCTCCAGGCTTTCCTTTGCCTTCTGGAAGTGGGCGTGTTCATTTTCATCAGTAGGTGACTCCAAGTAGTTGTCCACAGCATCAGGAGAGCTAGGCATGGCTGTGGGAACTGTGGAGACAGAAAGAGGAAGTGAGAGAGGTGAAGACGTTTTTTTCTTTTTTAAAATAGGTGGCTAAAATGGCACAAACTCAGACAAAGAAAATACCTCAAATGTGTTAATAGTGTTAACATCAGAGGGAAAGGGGAGACAGTAAGCAACTGACTGTTTTAAGTCCAAGAGTGAGCTGCAAAAATAAACCTTTTATTTGTTTGACTAGTGCAAATCTTCAGCCAGAACACCACCATGAAAAGACACACTGAACTAAGGTCGACTCAAGCGAATCATCTCATTATAATGTGTGAACGCTAGTTTTAATCAGTGGCAATCTGTTGATTGACTCCTGTGTGTGAGCTACTATAAAAAATGTCAAATGTGAAGGTCACACGTCACTGTGGCCACATGGAATAAGAAAAAAATAATCATAGGTTGTTTATGAAGTGCATGTGTGCTTCTGGTAAAACTTAAAAGGAAATATGTTTTAAAGGAGTATGAATAAGAGTGGATATTGTGGAAGGGAAGTTTCTTTGTGAATCTCTGCCAGTTTCACCATCATAACTGAAGAAGCTTTTTGAAGAAGATAAAGTTCTTTACCTGAACTATCAGTCCGACTGCTACTGATAAAACAACATTCAAGGATCTCAAACCTAGTGAAACAGTTTCTTCACAGATGGCTTGACAAATCATTGAGCTTAGATAATAATGCCCAAAACGTGCTTAGCCACTGGAAAAAATCTTTTAAAACTATTTAGCTCTGTGTGCTCTCAATAAGGGCCTGAATAAACAAAATGATGCTTTTGTAATAGTTCTGCTTTCAACTATAGTTGTTTTACAGTTTTACAAATAATTTTTCTGATCTGTTAAAAACATGAATCAGCTTTGCAATATGGTGTGGTGTTAATATAAGAAAACAAAGCCAAGCCAGAAAAACACATGTAGCACAATATATTAATTAATAATAATTAAGATTAATTATTCTCCTCTTTCAAGGATACACAAGGTTATTTTAAAGCTCAAGTCTTTATAGAACACAATAAATGGTTGGAAACAGCACAAACAGGCAGGTGCTGAGGAAGAGGTCAGTGTTAGGGAGAGGAAGCGATAGTCCAGAGAGCAGCTCTAAATGTCCAGCGACAGCCAGGAAACACGAGGGTTAAAGACAACGAGGATGTGAAGAGCACATCTGGCGTGGGCTTGAAGTTCTCAGAACTTACTGACGCTGCTGCCGCACACAGACATGCAGTACTCCTCTGACTCAAAGTTATTCCGGTTTCCTCCACAGCCACCATAGATAAACTGAACGCAGCGGTCCTCCTGCCGGTCAAAGTACCAGCGCGGCAGCATGGCCCGGCACGGACCAGTCTCCGCACTGGCCCAGCACACCTCTTAAAGAACAAATACATTCATTCACATATACAGTATATATGTATATATGTGTATATATGTGTGTATATATATATATATATATACATATATATATATATACACACACACACACACACACACACACATATATATATATACATATATATAAACCTGTGATCCATACTACAGGTATCGACAGAGGAGGCAGGTTAGAAACCTAGAGGGTTGCACAAGGGTATTTAGCCTGCAGCTAAAATAAAATACGGTCCAGATTTAGTCCAGAGTATAGGTCCTGCTTTTTAACAACATAACTTTCAGACAAAGACATAAAAACTTTGCTCCTGAATAATTACCAGACTAGTCAACTATTTGTTTAAATAACTGGAACTAATTAAAAAAATCCATTAGTTGCAGCAACATTTAAAACTAAACAACCTGCCCCCCCAAAAACAAACTCTTGGATTAAGAAGGCACCACCTTTTACTCTTCCCATAGTTAATAAATGATCTAAGTTAGCCAACTAGTTAACAAGGGAGAGCTGTATAGGTTTAAATTAAATCTACATCAACCTCATTCTATAAACAGTACATCTGCTCTACGTCTCTGCTGCTGTGAACATTCTCACTCTGTAAACACCTCACTTCTCACACACCAAAGTCCATTGAGAAAAATCAATTTTTTAATGTCACAGCAAACACAAGTTATTGATCAACTGCTGCCTCCATCAGTAAGTTCAAATTGGTTATTTGGTGAGTTTGGTGTTTGAAATCCTTTGTTCTGATTTACCTCAAGGACAGGAACGTTGCAAAACAAAACAGCAGCAGTTCTGTGGTTTCTGTGTCCTGGCAGGCTCAAAACATTGATTATTTTTCAAGGGGGTTTTAGTTTAGGAGAAAGAATTCCTCACAAAACTGGCTTCCTGTCAGTGTTGGCTGTCTGAAGGCTAAACAAAGTAGCAAAAACATTTTGAAAATATACTAGACTGAAGTAGGTGTAGATTTGAAGTCTTCTGTGAAGTAGCTAAAATCTGTGTTTTTTGTTCCCCTGCTGGCAGCAATGTGTTCTATGACAGCGAGCCTCCGTGGGCATGGTCAGTGCCAACCATCTGCCAGTACCTTGTAGGACATAGTTCATAAAACCTGGACTATTCCTTTAACTCTATTTGGAAACAAGATTAAAAAAGTCAAAGACTCCAAACAGCCACAAACACAATGATTGGGGTTTTCTTCTCACCTCTAACAACTTCCTCCACAGACTCTGTGGTGGTGGTGGTAGTGGTCGTGGTCAGGGCCACATTGGTGAATGGCTCGTTATCGATGTCGTCAAGTATCACATCATCATCATCATCATCATCATCATCATCATCATCATCATCATCATCATCTGATCCATACTACAGGTATCGACAGAGGAGGCAGGTTAGAAACCTAGAGGGTTGCACAAGGGTATTTAGCCTGCAGCTAAAATAAAATACGGTCCAGATTTAGTCCAGAGTATAGGTCCTGCTTTTTAACAACATAACTTTCAGACAAAGACATAAAAACTTTGCTCCTGAATAATTACCAGACTAGTCAACTATTTGTTTAAATAACTGGAACTAATTAAAAAAATCCATTAGTTGCAGCAACATTTAAAACTAAACAACCTGCCCCCCCAAAAACAAACTCTTGGATTAAGAAGGCACCACCTTTTACTCTTCCCATAGTTAATAAATGATCTAAGTTAGCCAACTAGTTAACAAGGGAGAGCTGTATAGGTTTAAATTAAATCTACATCAACCTCATTCTATAAACAGTACATCTGCTCTACGTCTCTGCTGCTGTGAACATTCTCACTCTGTAAACACCTCACTTCTCACACACCAAAGTCCATTGAGAAAAATCAATTTTTTAATGTCACAGCAAACACAAGTTATTGATCAACTGCTGCCTCCATCAGTAAGTTCAAATTGGTTATTTGGTGAGTTTGGTGTTTGAAATCCTTTGTTCTGATTTACCTCAAGGACAGGAACGTTGCAAAACAAAACAGCAGCAGTTCTGTGGTTTCTGTGTCCTGGCAGGCTCAAAACATTGATTATTTTTCAAGGGGGTTTTAGTTTAGGAGAAAGAATTCCTCACAAAACTGGCTTCCTGTCAGTGTTGGCTGTCTGAAGGCTAAACAAAGTAGCAAAAACATTTTGAAAATATACTAGACTGAAGTAGGTGTAGATTTGAAGTCTTCTGTGAAGTAGCTAAAATCTGTGTTTTTTGTTCCCCTGCTGGCAGCAATGTGTTCTATGACAGCGAGCCTCCGTGGGCATGGTCAGTGCCAACCATCTGCCAGTACCTTGTAGGACATAGTTCATAAAACCTGGACTATTCCTTTAACTCTATTTGGAAACAAGATTAAAAAAGTCAAAGACTCCAAACAGCCACAAACACAATGATTGGGGTTTTCTTCTCACCTCTAACAACTTCCTCCACAGACTCTGTGGTGGTGGTGGTAGTGGTCGTGGTCAGGGCCACATTGGTGAATGGCTCGTTATCGATGTCGTCAAGTATCACATCATCATCATCATCATCATCATCATCATCTGTACCGTCTTCCTCTTCTTCCTCCAACTCCTCCTCCTCCTCTTCTGCAGCTGTCTCCTCATCCTCCTCTCCATCTCCATCATGGTCGTTGTCAAGTACATCTTCCTCCTCATCTTCGTCATCTACATCTGCTGCTGCCGTCACCTCTTCCTCCTCCTCCTCAGCTACCACAGATGGTTTCACGTCCTCTTTTTGCTCCACTGGCTCTGGCTCTCGCACCATACTGAGAGGGAAAAGGGAGCAAAAGATGTTGAGAAAAAAAAAAGAGATAAGATGGCGACGGGGGGCGTGAAGGGACATATGGGGATGACACGTGCATTATGGGAATGAAACATTTCAAAAAGGAGGGATGCGAAGAAAAAAGAGTGAGGAAAGACAAGTTATGTAAATTAGAACACCTGCAGCTTATTTTCAAGGACAGGAATATTATCCTTGTAGCAGTTTTTAAATGATAACTAAATGTGATCATCTGTGCCAAGACATGGATCTAATCAAAAGTAGATATTTCTCCTTATTCAGACAATTAAGAAAAAAAATCTGTCAAGGAGAAAAATGTGAATATTTCACACCCCTGCCTTCAGAATACTTCTAACTCACCAAGATTTATTCAAGAGTGATGTATTGTAAACACAACGTGATTTTTTTGCACATGGTCAACAGACTATCCAAAGTTCTTTTAGTGGTGTTTGTAAGTTTACAACTTTTTGGCAACATCTTTAAAAATAACTTGTGTCCTTGTAATGCTAGCAACTAAGTAATAAACTAACTATTAGGGTTTTTGTACAGTTACCCATTGTCAGAGTAGTCTGTTTCGGCTCCGCCCCACCAGACGTCGGAATCATCGGTGTCCTGCTCAGCACTCTCAACCTCACGCTCAGCCTCCGCGGGACAGCAGACAAACTCCACGCCTCTGAAGCGGTCAATGCCGCATGGCAACAGCATCCCATAATCATGGAGGTTCATAGTCCGATCTCCGCAAGACTGTACAAAGACAAGACAAAAGCATTTGCATCAAACTGCCACTGATTTAACAAAAAGCTTGTGGTGTAAATTTTCAAAGTTTTTTTTTCCATTAGAGACCAAAACCTTCTATTAGAGAGCTTGTTGACCACTGATACTGTACTTTCTTGGCTTTTGAAGACAACAGATGTGAGATATAACAGAAAATGGCAAGAAAATCCTGCTACAACTGGTGAACTCCGTTTGAATTAGTGTGTTATAAACTGCTATCTTGCTTTGGCTTTAACGTGACTGCTATGGCCATGTTGTTGTTTATTGGTAGATGCTTATGAGTCTGTGCTTGTGTGCTCACCTCCTTGGCGACAGTGTGCCAGTGCAGGTGACTCTCACACTGGTCCATACGTTCCTGGTGCAGGAATTTGCACTTGTCAGGAACGAGCAGGGCGTCGCTCACAAACTCTCCCACTGCAGAAGAGAGACAAAAAACATACAACATCCATTTCACCTTCAGATGGGGTTTTCTGATCAACGCCATCTCAAATGGTTGCTATGGTAACCCCTGTACGAAATGCACAGAATGTGCGAGCGGGCCAGAATATCCAGAAGTGATGGGACTTACCGAGGCAGCGGTACGGCACCACGATGCGTGCGTGACTCCGACACGGCTTGCGTCCCTTCTTGCACCAATTCTGGATGCTGACTGGCTGATTTGCCTCCACTACATTGGTGATCTGTAGCTCTGGATACACCTACCGCATGAGATTTTACATTGTATAATTAACATTGTTATTGACCGGTGGCCTAACAGTGATGAGGACAAAAGCAAATTAAGTTCACCTTGCAATCTGCTGCACTGCCAAAATATCAGAACTATGGTTCCACATATATATTGTGAAAATAAGCTGTAGCCTGAACATCTCAAACTAGGGATGTGACGATACACTCAACTCATGATACAATGTGATTCGTTATTATTTGTTCACAATACAACTTTATCACCAACAAAAGGAGCTTGAGACAAATTATGACCAAATACAATAGTCCTTTATTTGTAAGAACTATGTAAAATAATATTACCAACAGAAATGGTCTTGTCTCAGCCATGACAGTGGCAGGATGCTAAATTTGCTGCAAAAGATTTGTTGGTTACACGCT